TTTAGGTATAGCATATAATCAGTATTGTTTCGTGGTGGTAGACGTTTGGGTATAGCATATAATCAGTATTGTTTCGTGGTGGTAGACGTTTGGGTATAGCATATAATCAGTATTGTTTCGTGGTGGTAGACATTTAGGTATAGTATATCATCAATATTGTTACGTGGTGGTAGACGTTTGGGTATAGCATACTATCAGTATTGTTTCATGGTGGTAGACGTTTGGGTATAGCATATCATCAGTATTGCCTCGTGGTGGTAGACGTTTGGGTAAAGCATATAATCAGTATTGTTTCATGATGGTAGACGTTTGCGTATAGCATATCATCAGTATTGTTTCGTGGTGGTAGACGTTTGGGTATAGCATATAATCAGTATTGCCTCGTGGTGGTAGACGTTTGGGTACAGCATATCATCAGTATTGTTTCGTGGTGGTAGACGTTTAGTTTGTCATATCACCAGTATTGTTTCGTGGTGGTAGACGTTTGGGTATAGCATATCATCAGTATTGTTTCGTGGTGGTAGACGTTTAGTTTGTCATATCACCAGTATTGTTTCGTGGTGGTAGACGTTTAGTTTGTCATATCATCAGTATTGTTTCGTGGTGGTAGCCGTTTGGGTATAGCATATAATCAGTATTGTTTCGTGGTGGTAGACGTTTGGGAATAGCATATAATCAGTATTGTTTCGTGGTGGTAGACGTTTGGGTATAGCATATAATCAGTATTGTTTCGTGGTGGTAGACGTTTGGGTACAGCATATCATCAGTATTGTTTCGTGATGGTAGACGTTTAGTTTGTCATATCATCAGTATTGTTTCGTGATGGTAGACGTTTGGGTATAGCATATAATCAGTATTGTTTCGTGGTGGTAGACGTTTGGGTATAGCATATAATCAGTATTGTTTCGTGGTGGTAGACGTTTGGGTATAGCATATAATCAGTATTGTTTCGTGGTGGTAGACGTTTGGGTACAGCATATCATCAGTATTGTTTCGTGGTGGTAGACGTTTGGGTATAGCATATAATCAGTATTGTTTCGTGGTGGTAGACGTTTTGGTGTAGCATATAATCAGTATTGTTTCGTGGTGGTAGACATTTAGGTATAGTATATCATCAATATTGTTACGTGGTGGTAGACGTTTGGGTATAGCATACTATCAGTATTGTTTCATGGTGGTAGACGTTTGGGTATAGCATATCATCAGTATTGCCTCGTGGTGGTAGACGTTTGGGTAAAGCATATAATCAGTATTGTTTCATGATGGTAGACGTTTGCATATAGCATATCATCAGTATTGTTTCGTGGTGGTAGACGTTTGGGTATAGCATATAATCAGTATTGCCTCGTGGTGGTAGACGTTTGGGTACAGCATATCATCAGTATTGTTTCGTGGTGGTAGACGTTTAGTTTGTCATATCACCAGTATTGTTTCGTGGTGGTAGACGTTTAGTTTGTCATATCACCAGTATTGTTTCGTGGTGGTAGACGTTTAGTTTGTCATATCATCAGTATTGTTTCGTGGTGGTAGACGTTTGGGTATAGCTTATAATCAGTATTGTTTCGTGGTGGTAGACGTTTGGGAATAGCATATAATCAGTATTGTTTCGTGGTGGTAGACGTTTGGGTATAGCATATAATCAGTATTGTTTCGTGGTGGTAGACGTTTGGGTACAGCATATCATCAGTATTGTTTCGTGATGGTAGACGTTTAGTTTGTCATATCATCAGTATTGTTTCGTGATGGTAGACGTTTGGGTATAGCATATAATCAGTATTGTTTCGTGGTGGTAGACGTTTGGGTATAGCATATAATCAGTATTGTTTCGTGGTGGTAGACGTTTGGGTATAGCATATAATCAGTATTGTTTCGTGGTGGTAGACGTTTGGGTACAGCATATCATCAGTATTGTTTCGTGGTGGTAGACGTTTGGGTATAGCATATAATCAGTATTGTTTCGTGGTGGTAGACGTTTTGGTGTAGCATATAATCAGTATTGTTTCGTGGTGGTAGACATTTAGGTATAGTATATCATCAATATTGTTACGTGGTGGTAGACGTTTGGGTATAGCATACTATCAGTATTGTTTCATGGTGGTAGACGTTTGGGTATAGCATATCATCAGTATTGCCTCGTGGTGGTAGACGTTTGGGTAAAGCATATAATCAGTATTGTTTCATGATGGTAGACGTTTGCATATAGCATATCATCAGTATTGTTTCGTGGTGGTAGACGTTTGGGTATAGCATATAATCAATATTGTTTCGTGGTGGTAGACGTTTGGGTACAGCATATCATCAGTATTGTTTCGTGGTGGTAGACGTTTAGTTTGTCATATCACCAGTATTGTTTCGTGGTGGTAGACGTTTGGGTATAGCATATCATCAGTATTGTTTCGTGGTGGTAGACGTTTAGTTTGTCATATCACCAGTATTGTTTCGTGGTGGTAGACGTTTAGTTTGTCATATCATCAGTATTGTTTCGTGGTGGTAGCCGTTTGGGTATAGCATATAATCAGTATTGTTTCGTGGTGGTAGACGTTTGGGAATAGCATATAATCAGTATTGTTTCGTGGTGGTAGACGTTTGGGTATAGCATATAATCAGTATTGTTTCGTGGTGGTAGACGTTTGGGTACAGCATATCATCAGTATTGTTTCGTGATGGTAGACGTTTAGTTTGTCATATCATCAGTATTGTTTCGTGATGGTAGACGTTTGGGTATAGCATATAATCAGTATTGTTTCGTGGTGGTAGACGTTTGGGTATAGCATATAATCAGTATTGTTTCGTGGTGGTAGACGTTTGGGTACAGCATATCATCAGTATTGTTTCGTGGTGGTAGACGTTTGGGTACAGCATATCATCGGTATTGTTTCGTGGTAGACATTTAGGTATAGCATATGATCAGTATTGTTTCGTGATGGTAGACGTTTGGGTATATCATATCATCAGTATTGTTACGTTGTCAATGCTTTGGTTTAACTCATCAACATTATTTTTTCGTGGTAGTCGCTTCTGTATAATTTACTGTAATCATTATTTCGTTGTAGGTAAGTGCGTTCAAAAGGACATGTCGATTAAAATAGAAACGAAGTGTTTTATGTTGACCCGTGCATACCCCATAACCTGAATAGGGGGCAAAGTCCAAAGTGCGGACATATTACACCTGTAACGCATAAATGAGGTAAGTGACTTGAGCGACAGTTACGACAGTCACGAACACAGGTACAATTTCTACGTCTTTTTAGCTATGTTAGTATCTAAGTATCAGTATATGCTGTTATATTATAAAATATACCATATATATCATATCATTCAATATATCTTATCAGGTGTACTGGTATATACACTAAATCTTATTACATATTATTAGGTACATCACTTAATTCATTGTATCTTATTAGGTACAATCACTTGATTCATTGTTTAATATTAGGTATACCAAAATATTGGGAATAGCCGAGTAGGTTTAACATAACATTTATAGGGAATAGTATTTCTGGCCCATGGTCGTAGGTATAGCAACTTTGATAGTTTACTTGACAGTATCTAATATATTTGGTTGTCACATTATCACACACAAAATATTGTTAAACTGCTGGCGGTCACCAATCGCCATGGAACTGGTAGCTATATTGTATTGACGCTAGCAATTTCACTCTAATTGGGAAGTTTTATATCCTTAAATACCATAGCAAAGGATGGCAATGACCAAGTATTATGTGTGTAGACCTGGACGGTTAAGAGATTATCGCCGGGTAGCTTGAGTGGTCCTGCACACTGATCCACTAACCAGTGAAATAACGTGTTGTATGTGCAGGGTTCCGCACTGCTGCCGATATTTTGGCCATGTTTTGTGTCTTCAAAGGGTGACAATGTACGTTAAAACACAAACATGGGTTGACAGTACAGGTTAAAACACATACATGGGGAGTAGTATAGGTAATGGGGGTAAACCCGGTAAATATATTTGCCACATCGCTTGTTTCTTTAACCAATCCTTGGCCACATCTTTAGATACCTTAGCCGCGGTGGCTAATTTTTTTATTGCTCCTATACCTTTCCAATATCCTCGTGGGCTATAGTAAATTTTATCCATTATTAATTAATATTGATGTTTCGTTTAATACAACTCATGACTATCATTGAATCGCATAATCATTTTGGCATAAAAAATGCCACCTGTAGTAGCAGTATAGGTATATGAATCCGGCTCCAGTGGAAGTGGTCCAGAACTCCAATTACCTATAAAAATGTATATCATAGACTCCAGGTGGTGGTGAGCTGCAGTCAATTTAACTTAATCTTATGACTATCATTGAATCGCATCATCATTTACGCATAAAAAAATTCCCTCTGTAGTAGCAGTATAGGTAATAAATCTGGCTCCAGTGGAAGTGGTCCAGAACCCCCATTACCTATACTACTTTGGGTGACAGTACAAGTTAAAACACATACATGGGGTGACTGTTACTACAAAACTATTATCACTATCAAAGGATTATTAAAAAACTGAGAAATTATTCACTTAGGTGTCCAAATGTAGTGTACGTCTTTCCCGAAGTTTCCCCATACGTTTGAATGACTCACGCTCTCGACACAACGCCTTTTACTTATGAGTACATTTATACCTCAGTTAGTATACTTATTATACCTTAGTGAGTGAGGGAGGGAGTAGGGTTTTACGCTCCTTTTAGCAATATTTCGGCAATATATCCCGGCGGGGGACACCAGGTTTGGGCTTCACACATTGTACCCATGTGGGGAATCGAACCGGGCCTTAGTACCGAACAATTAAAAATAAATTCTGAACACACTTTTTCAAGCCATCCAAGCTATGTATTTTGGAGGCAAACCCCGTGGGCGAATTATTTTAACAAATTTACAAAAATGAATCCCAAATCTAGTATGTTGAATACTAGTAGCAAGATATGTTGCCCCGGGTTACGCTCCTTTCCTGTGAAACGTATCATAACAGTAGAGTTTATCTGTTTCAGCTGTGAAAAGGTGGTCAGGACTGTTCGGGTTGTGGTGCAAGAGAGATAACTCTAATATCCAGAACGGAAGTTTCGTTCAAAGATGGCGTCTGCCTTATTTCGAAGTGGACGTGCGGCTGAAAGATTAGCCTTCCAGCATGCCGCGCGGGTAGGTTTCCACGAAGAATATTTGTGCATGTCCTTCATTTTACGAAAAACTATATCCTAATTAGTATTTTGCATGCATATTTTTCTGTTATCGCTTTTTGTCCAAATCGCAACGACTGTGTTATAACAAGTTTGACATTGCAATGTCAATGCCTGTAACCCTGATTCATTTGTACTAAACTATATATACTGAACATACCTGTCATACGATTAAGTTGACTTCATTTATGTTACCCTCATGGCGTAACATTGACGTGTAGGCCTAATTGCAAGCATTAGATGCGTCATGTCGGATTGGTCGGTAGGCCTCGTCGCTGTCATGGTGATGAGGTAGGTAGGAGGTGGGCCTAACACATTTCTTGTGCGAAATATTGTCGTTTTCACTATTTTGACTAAAGCAGCAATGATCTCTGTACGTGTGCATTATACAAGACACAATCTGCCGTGTCTGTTTGATGCCACTAGTATAGACGCACACGACAGCATCACTATTTGAAAAATAGGGGAATAATGCTCAAAATATGCAAACAAATTACCCAGCTTGCATTTGTATGGTTTAATATGATTAATCCTTGAAATTGAATATCAAAGCAATGCATGACATCAACATCGAAAAGGTACTCGAAAATAGATGTTCCATCAAGGCGTGTGACATCGGTCTGAGCCACATTTCAGTGAACACGTATTTTGTATCTCCTTTGGAAATAAGACATTTTATTTACTTATGAAAGCATTTAATTCAAGCCGTTGAGTTGGATTCAAGCCCCCAAACTCCCTGTTACTTTAGCAAAGCGATAAACATGGCGTCCGAAAAACTTAAAAAACGTTACTAAGGAATGAGCTCATGCACATCCCTTACCAAACTGGCGAAAGGTGTCCGGTATACTGCATTCTTGCCCTGATCTCTGACAATAAGACTGCCTTTCTTGCTTTTGTTATTATTTTTTCTTGTGGATATCAGATGATATCCCAGAATTCTCGATAAGACGTGACCTGTGCTTTGCCAACCGTAAGCGAATTTATCACTTTTATTAATAGTATATAAGGGCATTACATCACATTGATCCAAAAAATTAAATACAGTTTTGTCTTGGAAATGTTAGGGAAATGTAGGCATGCTTGTGGGTAGCATTGGTAATAGTAACAAAGTTTTGATCTGTCACATGCTTGGTAATATGCAGTTTTTGTTTACACTAGTTTGACTTGTAACACAAACTAAATATTCCACCTGCTCATTGCTTATTTTATTGTGTGTATATGTTTTAGTTAAAATTTGAAACTATGAAACTAGGTATTTTCTTCGAAGATGCAAAAGTTGGTTGTTATGGACTATAATTTCAACTCGTGTGACTTGTTGTCGGTGCTATTCTGTTTTGTTTTTGATAAATGCGTATATGACTTGAAAGGATGAAGCTATCGGTCAACACCATACAATAAAAAACTACACAGTATCCCTTCAGAGAATTCAGGTAAACGAACAGGTGATAACAAACTTGATCAATAAAATTATGAAATTCAGATAAATTATCACAAAACATGATGATTTACCATTTCAATTGTATTTTCTGTTCTGCTTGGCATTGTTTCATGTTCAGAAATAAAAATTATCCTGTGTATTTTCTCATAAACGAAGCTGGAAATAGCAAACAGCTGTATACACATTTTCTACCATTCTACCGGTGATTTGGTTAAAAAATACACAAAAATATAACTTCAAAGAATTTTGATCGGATGAATAGTATCTGAAACTATTATTTTATCAGATATAAAATATTCCAACATCAAGTTATATTTAAATAATTAAATTTTCGTTGTGTTCATGGAAATTCCTGCATTCTGATTAGCTGAATTGGTCACGTGTTATTGCATTCATTTCCCAATGAATGTAAAAAATTAAGCCACGCCCACCGCGGCGCACTACATTTATTACTGCGGAATGTCGGGGAATCCCAATATTACAGTCGAGGGAATTCCCTTTCTGCTCACGTGTATCGTCATGCACAAGACATTAAGCGACTTTCATGCATATTCATTGTCCAAACTACCCTTTGAAACCGAAGGCCGAGAATGAATGAAACAGCAAACGTGCAGGCTCGCTCGCCAGTTTTTTCCCCGCTCGCTTCGGTTCAACTTTCATGTCTTCGGGTTTCATTTCTAACTAGCATTTCTCCAACTGTGTTTTACCGTAATCAGGGAAGTAATGTTTGAATCATGCAGTAAATGACCATGTTATTTGAAACAGCCGCCTTCTCTCGGACATATTTCTTCCGGTTTGTTACAGTCTGACTGTTGCAGTTCTTTTCGCCTCTTGCCTTAATTGACAGGTCCAATGAACATTGTTTTAATCCCACTCTCCGTTGATTGGCTACTGACTCTGTAGGTGTGTCAAGTTATATGCATAAATTAAACGATCACCTGATTCATGTCACGCCACTGTATGTATTCCTACACCTGGAATGTTTATCAATGTCGGCATTTTTGTCTGTTTTGATATATGCAACTGTTTGGGGTTAAACTATTGTAGATAAAACATGTTTTACGTTGTCGAATTTAATTTTAAGCATTGACTGTATATGTTTTTCAGTTCATTGAGGTATGAAGAGGAAAACCGATGTGCAAACTTTTGTAAGATCCGCTACGCGGATTCATACAGTTTGCACATTGGTTTTTCGAATCATACCACAATGAACCGAAAAAAATACACAGTCAATCCTTAATTGCAATTTTTACTATATATGTGTAAAATAACCATAAGCATAGCTCTTTGGGACAACTGAGAGCTATGCCGGATATATTTTACGTATGGAATAATTTGATAGCCTCCGGCATTCTTGGTTCAGCAAATGAATGAAAACAAAATGCAAATTTCGTAATTACAACCAACAAAAGGTGTATGTATACTATCAGGTAGTTACCTGTTTGAGGAATGTATTCGCAGATATCCACATAAAGAAACAATATCCCATACATCTGAAGCTGTACAAAGAAACTTGTCCGTTGTCACGTGTCTTTATAACAATCTAATATTTTAAAATATATATGGCATTTTGGGGTATTATGACCCATGTTCGTTTCACAACTGACCATGTAAATTTGTTTCAGGTGTTTCACATAGGTGTCACGGCTCATTGGTCAGCTGAGATAGCTCACGTAACAACTATGTTCATAATGTCCATGGTTCTTTTAAAAAAATCCATAGAGTAGGACAACAAGCAATCAATCAACATATTATAATTTATAGGCTGATCCTTTGAACAACATGAACAAAGAATGTTGTTTTTACATCAGCACTTCAGAACTGCTTTAGTAAACTTTGCCAAATCCACTGTGCAAGATAACAGTGATTAATCAATCAACATATTACCAGTTAATCTTTTGATCGATGTTTTTTGCAACTCTTCTGATCATCCCTCTTTTGCTGTGTTGCCAAGTGCATATTACATCATATGTAGAAATTCACCGCATCAGATCTGGATATACATATAACCCAATCGTAGATTAGATAAATACCCCAGATACATGCGAACCACTGAGTGCTTTATTACCTTTACATCCTCATGGGCAGCAGTGAACGTTATTGAGATATATTGCAGTCTTTGTCAGGAAATCTGAGTAGTTCTACCACTGATTATACCTGTAATAAAGTCATTTTCTGAGCATCAAGTGAATGACGAAAAATACACAGGTGGGGGGTTATACCATGAGACGTGGATGATAAGAAGGGAGAAGTAATTGTTGTATTATGTGTGCAATTTGCCTGAAAATTAAGGGTCATTGCTGTTGAGTATATGAACTGAATTTCTTTGTAACAAAAGTAATATGTACACATATTTTCTTTTTATCATATAATGGGTAGGTTTCTCGGCAGGATAAAGCCAACGGATAAAAATGATTTCCGTTGGGGTCATATGCGGATAGAGATGCAAATATCAAAGGTCAAGTAGGGACTGCTTTCACTGTTTATAAACAAACATGGCGTCGCCCTCGTCATTCGGCGATCGAGTCAGAATTAACCATCGAGAATCTGGATAAACTAAAGGGATAATTGCTATCATTATCAAAAGAACAGTCTAACATACTGAAAATCAGTGTCTAACTGTGACGTAGCTGAGGCATTTTATAAGTTTTGGCAACTTTGGAGATATAAATTTCGAAACAATTTTGCGAGGGCACAAGGCCTAGCCGAGCAGGATCAGTAGCCATATCTGTGCCTGTAGACCTCTGCGGCTCGCCAAGGCTCGCTAAATACAATGTTTATTCCTAATGCAGGATATTTACCATCCCCAAACACACTCGCGTGATAACCTCTATATGCCAAACTACATACTTGTGCATACCCTTTTATACACGCAAATGAATTTGCAATGTGAAAGGTTATAGTGAGCATAATCCACTGAATTGCGAGGATTCAAGGGGATTCCCCCTCGCTGTCAACGAGGTTTTCAAGTTGGCCCCTCGCTGGTCAGAAGTCCAGTTTGTTGAGTCGCTTGCACTAATTGGATTCAAGTGAATACACCGGCTAACTAAAATGGTGCCGGCTAGACGACTGAAAGTTGGAGCTTTATTTAGGCGCTAAAAATATTGTGTTTTCAATGTAGAGCTAGGTTACCTGTAGATTTAACCACGCGAAATTGAATTTGGAACCGAATGCACAGCCAAACAGTGGGGTAGAAGCCAGAGCCTAGTGCTCCTTCCAACACATAATCTTCATTTATTTAAGTTCTAAATCTTAACTAAGTTAAAATGTGACAAATTTTACCTTCTTCTGGAAAGAACGGCTCTTCTAGCCTCATGAGTCAAGATTGCAATTATGCTTGTGATTTATGAGGGACTGATGCTTACTCATCATGCTCACAGGATGATGTTCACACCTGAGTAGTGATTTTAAAGAGATTTTGTCTGAAGTTGAAACTACTTTGTTCACAGGTTATGTGTGTAGCTAATGGTGGAGCACCCTGTCAGCAGAAACGCCACCTATCTGTTCATGAATACATGAGCTTTGGCTTATTGCGAGAGGCGGGGGTAGCAGTGCCTTCCTTCAGGGTGGCCCAGACAGCAGATCAGGCATACAACTTTGCCAAGGAGCTGGGTGAGCACAATACACATGTCTTCTAAAGTACCCAACCAGACATACAAGTACTAGTTTCTAGGGCTGTCTAAAAAGGATCAATAATCAGAATTATCATTGATGTGTAGAAATATGAACAATTATCGATGTGAGAATTGTGTCATCGATAATATCTCACATGAACTATTGTGATGAAATAAAGTTTAGATAATCAAAACAGACCTTTTATTGACAATCATATCAATTGCCGAAGATGGAAAGCAACTGTTTTTGTTTTATCTGAAATGTCTACGTAGTAATCCATGCATATATGTCAGGGTATGAAACTCCCAAAACTTTCAGCCAGTCCACAGGACTGGTACCTGAAATACTTGCCAGCCCTGACCAAAACCCGCCTGCCCACTATAATTGTATGTTTCTCAGGATAAGCTTACAGGGTTTCTTTTTGGTTACATTTTATCATTCATCTTTACATGTGAATTAATGCTTATCATCGGGAAATATATAGAATGTTTTCACATATGAAATATAACCCAACCGTCGGGCAGGGGAATTTGAAAATCTGGCAGCCCGAGTTGAAATCAACCCGTCTCGGACGGTCGGGCAGGCAGGTATTTCGAACACTTAATATGTGCCCCCACTCACCAGTGGGGTGAAATATGTTGATTTCTTTTGGATGTTTTTGGCGTATTTGCTCAATGTTACGATATTTATTGAAAATTGATCGATATTTAGTTCACGAATATTGACCTCTATGATCTGCATTGATAGCCAGCCCTGCTAGTTTCACATGTTACTTATTCCAGTTGTGGTTGTAAATCAGGACTAAATGTAATGAGGATGCTGCTTCAGGCCATGTTGCTGGATCACCGGATGTTGTGCTGAAGGCCCAGGTCTTGGCAGGTGGAAGGGGCAAAGGATCTTGGGACAGTGGACTCAAGGGAGGAGTGAAGCTTGTATTTTCGTAAGGACACCATCAACATGATCTATTGAACAATATTTCTGTCATGTATGTGTTTTTGTGTATTGTGTATCGATGATATCTGATATGCAGTAAACATTATCCTTCAGCACCATTAAATAGAAGTTCTTCTTCAATGTTTTACAATGATAACTGTCTGATTTTTTTAACACTGATGGGCAGTTGAGAATGTTATCTTTTGCTGCTATCTTCAGGGCTGATGAAGCAAAGGATTTGGCATCGAAGATGTTGAACCACAAGCTGTTCACAAAGCAGACTGGGAGTGAGGGGAGATTATGCTCCAATGTCCTGGTGGCAGAAAGACTGTACTCAAGACGCGAGTTCTACTTCGCTATCACAATGGAGAGAAGTTTTGGGGTAATCTCTCTTTTAAGATAACTTGAACATGCCAATGTTGATAATGCCCATCATACTTGGGGATATCAGGTTAGAATTGGTCCCCAGCAAACTAGGCAAAGGTCGTAAGAGGCGACTTAATGAATTGGATGGTCATGCTTGGTAATTTTTGTGTCATGGATTGTTGATTTAATATATCAATGACTACAGTCAAATCCCGTTAATCCGACATGGTTGGTTGCATAAGATTATGTCGGATTAACGAGTATGTCGGATAAACAAAATTAAGTAGTATCAACGTTTGACATGATCAGTGTGATCGAAAATCGGACAACTACACGATAGATAAAGATAGAAACACATAATAAAAAAATATAAATAAAATATTCATTTTGTTATGTTACATTGTTAGCGGAATATGTTTTCCAATCATGCAACCTCTGAAGCTCAACACACAACAACTGTTACGGACTGTATGACTTATTCAAAATACTTTAAAAAGCATAGTCTGGAATGGAACTTGCAAGTTTGAAGCTTCCCTGACACTGACAAGGCCTGCACACTGGCCTCCCTGGCAGGATTATTGGAAAATCACACTATCATTTTTGATGCACTTTTTCTACCAGAAACTTGCTTTTAATATACATTTATCATATACCATTGTAAAGAAGATTAAGTATACTGTAATATTCTTTGTTGTTATTGTTTCTGACCTTTGTTATTTTCTAATTACAGGTGTTTACAAGTGAAATAAAACTTGAAAACACTGAAAAAATGATAACGGACAATGAATTTTGGCTCAAATTGTATTAAAAATCACAAAAATAAATCACACATACAAGGTAACATAATACGGTGGTCTTGTCATCTTGGACGGCACAGGTAATCCCAGGTGTTACAGGTAAATTCTCTTCATGCACATCTGTAAACAAATAAGTTTACAACACTTGGTACCGACTTTTTTTTTCTATACTGATGTCACATATTACTTATGATACACTTACAGCCTCTTAGGTAAACTCGTCAACACAGGTAAACTTGTTAACGCAGGTAAACTGGTTAACACAGGTAAAAACAGATTTATTTTGTTCTTTTTCAGGATTTGAAACAAAAATTAAGTATTTAAGTAATTAAATAGTAATTTATCACATTACCTGAACATTGAACCACAGCTACTATAAGAATGCCATCACAGGGAAGATATCACAGATTGATCTGAAAGGAGGGAAAGATTGTAAAAGAAGAAAGATCGTAAATTCAAGTTCTGCAGCTATACAAGTTGTGATAACATAATTACAATACACTGCTATTTACAATTGCATAATAAATTAAATCAGTACTTTATTAAATCAATTAATAAATAAATAATTATTACAGTTACTAAAATTTAAATTAAGATGTAAAAAACAAGAAAACGAACATGAATATGGAAATAAATTTTATTCAAATTGAGCGAAATACAAGGACATACGACAAATCGGCAAACTACAATTCGGATTGCGATCAGAAAAATAATTTTTAAAAAAAAGAAAGAGATACGTCATGCCACTCACCTTTGTTGTTGTTGTGATCGCTCGTTCACGTGTAGGTTGCATTCTCATTCGTCGCTCTGATAATCTGTTCAAACACAGAATCATTGTAAAACAGTTGGAAAAAATCAATAGCACGACTCTTCACTCTGTCAATAAGTTTTCTTGAGCGCAGTTGCCTCTTCAAAATCCCTCATGTCTCCACCGTTGTGGTCCCTCTGCCACTCCCATTCGTGAAAGTTGGCGGGGGGGGGGGGGGGGGGGGACACCTCGTCGAAACCGTCAAAATCTTCACCAGAATCTTCGCGAAATTCCCTCTCCCCTTCGCGTAAATTATTCAAATCAAACACATTATTATTCTCGATAGAGTCGTTGTTAGTCATCTGATCGCTATCTGAATCGTAGTTGGCCGCCATTACGCTAGATTTACCATTCATGCAAGAAAAAATACCTGTCGCGAAAACAGGTGACATATCTGCGATTTTCGCGCCAAAAACACTGGGAAATTCCATGGAATGACGTGTCATTACGTGTAGATCTCGTTTCTATTTTTAGAACGAGATTACACACGATAAAGGAAGTAGAAAGAGCGATTTTGTAAACACGTTCGTGCCGCCCGATTTAGCGGGCAGCCGTGTGTGGGACTTGGACAGTTTATGCTGCCCAATAAATCGGGCAGTCGGGGCCAAAGGGTTAAGAAAGCTCCTTTCTAAGTGGCAAACATTGACTTCCTGTTAGTCATTTCATTGGTCAGTAATAGTTCGCAAAAGGTTGTTCTGACGTGACCTGTAACAGCATGTCCTTGGCGTTACGAGAACGTGTATCTGATTTTAATGAGATTGAGGTAATCTAAGCATGTGATTAATCCTGTTTTCTTTTTTTAAGGCATTAAGTGTTTATTGTTAAGTAAGTTCTAAATAGCACTGATTTAATTGGTTCTCATCATTAGTGTCGGATAAACCCAATTGTCGTATTAATGAGTGTCAGATTAACGAGACTTGACTGTAGATTGTCCCGTCCAGACTTGATTATTTACAGGCCGCCATCAAATACCTGGAATATTGCTAACATAAGTGTGGTGTAAAACAGTAGACAAGCCAAACAGATAATTGTTTATCTTATCCTTCATTACTACCTTAATGCTTCTGACCCGTGAAGATCCGGGGTAGAATAGGTCTTCAGCAACCCATGCTTGCCGTAAAAGGCAACTATGCTTGTCGTAAAAGGCGACTAACGGGATCGGGTGGTTAGGCTCGCTGACTTGGTTGATGCATGTCATCGATCCCAATTGCGTGGATTGATGCTGATGATGTAAATCACTGGAATGTCTGGTCCAGACTCAATTATTTACAGACCGCCATCATATAGCTGGAATATTGCTGTCTGCGGCGTAAAACATCAAACAAAACCTTAATGCTTCTACTGCCGTTTTCTCTCCCCTCTTGACTTGACTGAAAACCTCGGGGTCTTTAGGAAATGACACACCCAACTTGCCCGCAGGCTTCCCCAGATGGCTGACTATGACGCCCTGGCTCTCAGCACCTGGGATCTCCTACCCGCAGTCTTACCAGTCATAGACATCCCCGTAGGTGGGAGATTGGGCAGGTTTGGGTCCAGTTAGACAATTCTTCAAGATCCATTTGTTACCAACATCCTTTGTCAGGGGTACTATCTCTCTCTCAAGGCAAACCCACCGTTGACCTCTTACCCTGTGGGTATTACCCACCCCCCAGGATCTACTCTCCAGTGTTCCTGGTGCCCAAGAAGGATTCATCCAAATTCCGGCGTTACATGGCACATCCACCCTAATTTCATAGAGTCTGTTGAGACTGCTCAGGACCAGAATCAATGCAAACGAATCTCTGATCAGTCTCGACCTCCAGTACGCTTATCTTCATGAGCCCATCCATCCCAGTTGCAGGAAGTTCTTTTTTCCAGGGTATCCACTACCAGTGGGCGGTCCTCCCATTTAGCATTTCCATGGCCCTGTGGTTATTTGCCCGGATTACCAAGCCAATGACCACATACCTGCACCTGAGGGACGCTCAGTTCGAGTGTTACACCAACGACTATCTACTGAATCATCAGGACACGGTTTTTCACAGGGATTTCACACTTCTTCTAATTGCTCAACTGGGATGAATCGTCAACAATCTCAAGGCGGAACTCGCTCCGTCCTTCAAGCTCCAATTCACAGACGACTTGTTTGGCTCAGAGCCGGATCTCCCTCTGGTACCAAACCACAGGTGGTACAAAATACAGCACCACCTCCTTCCTGCCCTTGACCAAGCTCGTACACTTCGTCAATGGCAGGAATTAATGGGCCTTCTTACGTCAGCTGAGGATCGGACGTCTAGAGACCAACTCCAACTACTCATGCTACACTCCCGTTTATTTGTCGGATGCACACTCGGGCCTCCATACCAGGGGACTCGTCACTCATCATCCCTGTCTCAGACCTTCAGTTCCTACGGATCGCAGAATGACCAAGATCCCGGAACTTCAGGCACTATTGCGGTCGTTTCGTCTGGAGGATCAACATGCCAAGTTTCGTCCCCAAGCCTGGGATTTGAACATGGTATTAAAGTCGCCCTTTGAACTGCTCCACTCTTCATCTTTTTTCAATCTTACAAAAATGTGTCAGCAAGTTAAAAGGCCACGGGTACGGTTCGAGCGCAAGGTACATGGTGCTGTCCATCTTGGTCTGTACTGGGATTTCATTGCTAAGAATCAACTTCCTGAACAGCCGGACAGATGCTTCACCATTCCCCCCTTATCATGGATAGTGGGCTCCAAGCACAAGGTTAAACTACTTCTGTGCCCAGTTTGAGCCTTAACGTGTAGCTCGGAAATGACTGTTCATTCCGGTCATCCCAGATGGAAGTTAGTTGTAACACTAGCTCAGTATGGCTGCGCTCAATTATCCTGCAGGCTTACGACCAAGTTTGGACCTGCCTAGAGCCAACAACCTCCATGTCGCTTCGACCATGGCTCTCCACATCAACTGTTCTATCAAATCCATCATGGAGGGTTGTTTTTGGCGCTCAGATACTCAGAGATACCCCACAGATTATCTCCAAGACATGGCTCTTGAGGATGTGCTATTTGTTTTATTCCAGCTGCTTGAAATGGAATTTAGAACTTGGCTTTTTTCTACTTTTCCATTTTCATGACTGGATTTCACACCTCCAACTCTCCCTGGGGTAGCTCTAGCCAACAGGAAGGTCTGTGGTTTCCAATTTTTCTCGCTCAGTATGCTATCTGGCTACCTAGACTGACGGGAGGGTCTATCCCGAAAATTCCATCTGAAAGTTATTCCCACTGTCCGTTCTGTCTGACAAAAATGCATTAAAGTACTGTAGTGATCGAGGATTAGATAAAAAAATTAATAAAATCTAAATATGTTTTACATTTAGATTCTTATCCTGCATTACTACGTCTAAAGTGCCCTCCCATCGCTTTGCTACCTCCCTGCAAAGTTTCAGATGTACTAGCAGAGATGTGGGTATACCTGACGTCACTACTTCTGGTCACGTGGTGGCTGTGGGAGGAAGTATGCCACACAACTGGTTGGTACAACAATTTCTGTAGCCAGGACCTCTCACAGCTCTGTCTTCCTAGCCAGAGAACAGCAGTAGAAGCATTTAGCTAGTAATGCAGGATAAGTATCAATGAGCTTTGATTTTATTTCACAATGCGAAGACGTTATTGTGAGCACACATCACCAGAAGAAGCATGTCAACAAATCTGTACTTAAGTATTTACACATGAATCTCTTGTATCAATTTTCCCTGGGGCATCTCCCTTTATGAAAATTAATGTAAAATAGAATTGTTCTGAGGTGTTGTCTGATTGTTCAGTGTGAAAAGTTTCTAGTCCTATTTCTTTGCTACAAATGTTATGATTTGCAGGGCCCAGTGCTGGTTGGCAGCTCGCAGGGAGGTATGAATATAGAAGATGTGGCCAAAGATAACCCCTCTGCTATTCTGAAGAGTGCAGTTGATATTGCATCTGGTCTGTCAAAGGAACAAACGATCAAACTGGCTGCAGATATGGGTTTTAGTGACCAGTGTGTTGACGAGGTCAGTCACTCAAAGTTAATGTGTGTGTGTTTTTAGTTGAATTTGAGATCTTTATTACAAACATAGTGAAGAGTTTGATTGTGAGATAATAAGTCTCTACATCTCGTATATGTGTTATTTCAAGGTTTACTTTGATTTATTTGTTGTGATAAAACTTGATTTTGTAGATTTTCACTTTTTCAGTGATCAGTATAGGGTGGTAAAATGAACTACCACTTCTTTTAGTGATCACACTGATTTTACTTTTCCAAAATATCAAGAGCAGGATATAAACTCATCTGATACAGCAAACTGAATGATGTGAATTGCTAAGCAGGGACACCTGCAGTGTGAGTGACTGAGATTTTAAGAGCGATGCTGTGGTACTTTTTGAAGTGTTTTTGCTCTTATCCTGCTTACAAAATAGATACACATTTCAATTAATTTAATTATAAAAATTATAAAAATCGAAATTATAGGTGTTAATTCTTGATACTATGGTGTTTGCTCACACAATAGCAGTTTTGAATATTCCAAAAATGCCCATGTTTGACATACCCCCGGTATGATGTTCTCTGCTTTGGCTTGGTGTGCTATATGTAGAACAATTGCCATTTATTTATTTTCTAAATTCATGTGGGTTATGAACATGTGAACTTTATGTATAAAAAATGGTATCTGTATTTGATGATTGTACAGACCTTGTTCTGATGACTTTACACTCTGTGTATTCTCCATGTAAAGTGAATCCCAGTCAACAGTTACACATGACGTGTATGTTACAGGCGGCAGACTATATGATGAAGCTCTACAATGACATCTTCCTCAAGTATGATGCTACGTTAGTTGAAATCAACCCCATGTCAGAAGATGCCAATGGACGAGGTAAATACTTTGATTCCAGGTAGAAATATTGGTGGTGTAGAGATTTCTATACCAACCACAGATTTTAGGTGTCTTCATGTACAATCTGATTTACTTTTGCCAAATTTAGATGACACCTTAGATAAAGCTATCATAGACATTGTTTGCCCCCATTGTCCAACTCAACTGCTGGAGAATTCTTGTTTTCTCCTTGAATTTAGTTGCATTAACCTCCAGTAGTCTGAAATGTTATCGGGGTGGTCGGGTAGCCTAGTGGTTGAAGTGTTTGCTCGTCACGCCGAAGACCCGGGTTCAATTCCCGACATCGGTACAATGTGTGAAGCCCTTTCTGGTGTCCCCCTCGTGATATTGCTGGATTATTGCTAAAAGCGGCGCAAAACAACACTCAATCACTGAAATGTTATCCATAATTTTTTTCCTTAATGTGCATTACTCCTTATTGCAACTACTGCTTACCTTATGACAAAGAAAACAGCACTTCGCAATGGTCCCCGGTAAAGAAAGAAGGATACTTTTACTAGGACCCATCGCAATGGTCCGTGGTGACGTCACATCTGATCATATTCCTCCTTGTTGCCAAACGGACATGTTCTGCTTTGTTTGGTCCTCCAACTTTAGGCTTAATTTAGTGCATAAAATTTCGTCTGTGACGGTGAAGTATGCCTAACATTATGTTCCCTTTTTGCGAAATAATATGTATGTATTCCACGTTAAAAGACTTTTGTCTGTTGTTTCCCCGCCATTTTGTAATTGCGTAATATGTTTCTCTCCTATATTCGAGGTACTTATTATTGTTTGCAATTCTTGTCTAAGTATTACCATGATTACTTCATGTATGTTTAAATACCCTTGGCCTTTTGTGGCGTTATCTACAGTTTCACATTTGTATTTTGATACACTTTAAAGTCATAAATTTTCCCAATTTAAACTTTGGTTTTATTATCGATATGTACAAGTCTACTTCAACTACAACTTCAAGTTTTGCGTAACTGATCCTGGCGTGGTGCACTAATTGTCGTGGCCAAAATCTTCTAAAGATCCTCATCAACATTGTTTGGATTGCAATCAAGCACTCCAAATTTAAAATGTAATTTTTGTTCACCTCTCTTTCCTTCGAGTTTCTCAACTTATAGACAGGTCCCGCACATGCTTTACCGTGCTCCTGCTGGCCTGGTGCCACCGCATGCCTCGATCCTGTCCACACCTGCAGGCGTCTTATCACAAGGGCTTGCGTTGACCTCAGCGTCGACTATGACTACATCTTCAGGGCTTCCAGCCACTCCTACGATGTCATCGACGTGGGGTTGGCTTAATGCCGAACCCCCTGCCTATCGGTAGTGCAGCCCATGTATGTCACCGTACTTGGAGACTTCCTGGATGCAGAACTTCATGCAGTCCATGTGGTAGCAGTCCATGGCACGGATGTACTAGGTGACTTCGACTGTGATTCAGCCTCCATCGTAAGCAGCGACTCCTACGCGCATTGACCTTGGTGCATCTTATCAGGCATCTACTATATCAACTGGGATGGATTGTCAATGAGGTTATGTCCAGGTTAACTCACTCTCAGGCTCAGGCAATGGCTTTTGAAAAAATAATGCATGCGGGTGGTATTTTGTTGGGTTTTTTCTGGTTGTTCAAACTAGTATGTAATCAAATAAACAGTTGTGTACAATCAACCTGGGAAAGGGCCTGTTTACATAAATGTATTTCTTGATGAGCAAAATACTGGAATACAGTATTTGACTACCGTTGGACTTGGAATATTTAAAGATGTTTTAAAAAAAAAAAAAAAAAAAATGGAAATAAAAATGAAACAGTTCCTTACATCAAGCATCAAGACCTGTACGCAGCCATCACTTAACTCAACTGGTGGATGATAGAGTCGAACGTCTTATGAGGCGTCTTCTTATCTGGCTCATCGCAAAACTACACCTGTTCGTACATGCCTCCCTTCAGGGATGGGGCTCATCTACAGGGCCAGACAGCCTCAGCCTGTGGTACTTTTCATATCAATAACGCTCATTCTGGCCATCTCACATTGGCAGGAGCAGCTACGGTTCACCCAACTCACAATCTCCACCAACAACAGCATGGTGGTGTGGTGCCTGTGCAACGCACTCTCACTCCCTTCGTCTGGAACTACAATTCCTAGTCTAGCACATCCCCGGATGTCAGAAAATTCTGGCCGACGCCCTATGCCGACTTCACCCGAGGCGCATCAACTGGTGCATCAACACTTCAATTAACCCAAGATTGACCTTATCTCGACACATCAGAACCACCAACTTTGTGATGTATGTCTCACTGCTACCAGATCCGCAGACTGGGCCGGTAGATGCAATTGGCATAATCCTGGGAAGGGCTAAAAGCGTACTCTTTTCCACCTCCTGTACTACTTCCTAGGGTGATACACAAAATCATAGCTACCAAGAGCCTTACTCTTACTTTGGCCATGCCCTGGTGGCCAATGAAGGGGTGGTTCTTCGACCTCAAAGGCCTCGCAGAAGACAATACAACTACCCTTCCCAGAGTGGCCGAACTTACTCATCCACCCTCACAGCAAACTACATCACCCAATGCCAGGCAGATTTCATCTGCACTCTTGGTTCGTCTTAAAAAGGCTCTAATCCCTAACAGAATAGCGGCCAACCCTTAAAAAGAAGTTTATTTAAGGAGTAATCCCTCCCCACAGCAGAACAAAGCAAAACCACATTTGTCTTCACAAGATGTCATTTATGCATTAGAAAATGCTGGTTGTGGTGATTTCCTTTGGGTGCAGACATGTTTTTTGGTGGTAAAATGCACATTTGTGCTTCAAAATTTAGTAAATCAAATAAACAAGTCAATTTGCATATTGCAATGCTCATTTTATAAATAAAATCAGTGTGTTGACTTAGGAAACCTATCATCATGTGCAGAGTTTTGGAGAACAGAGCAGGTGCAGTGTTCAGTACGTGGCACCCCAGGCATGAGACAAGGACACTTTCTGGAGACGACATGATCTGTCACTGCAGATGAGCTATGTTGTTGCCTGAAACATGGCTCTCAACATGTGTTGCTTGAAAGCATCTTCTATTAACTATATTGGTTGGAACATTGTAGCTTCCTTATCAGTGTTGGAAGCCTGGATATAGTCTAGCTCATCCAGAGTGTTCAAAAGTATAGTGGGAGGATGAATGCTCTAGCAGAGTTTAGGGTCAATTCTAGGTGGCTCAATCCAAACTGACAAGTTCCTCAACATTTCAACATGTGACAGCATTGTTGAGAAAGCTGTGGGGCTGTCGGGTAACTTAGTGGTTAAAGCGTTCGCTTGTCACGCCAAGGACCCTTGTTAGATTCCTGACATGGGTACAATGTGTGAAGCCAATTTCTGGTGTCCCCCGCCGTGATATTGCTGGAATATTGCCAAAAGCTGCGTAACTCACTGAGAAAGCTGGCTTCTTTGAATTTATACCCACACATCGTCATAAGAATATCACGTTTCACAATGTTCTTCTAGAGCGCAATTACCAGTGTGCAACTCCCTTTCCCAATTCACTTACAAATAAATAACAGAGAATACACAGTCTCGATTATCTCAGCTCAGTGAATTACGTCCAAAGCAGTGTATTGTTAAGTGACACAAGAATGTGAGTTCAAATAATTTTCATAAGATCCTTATCATTATCTCAGCTAATATTTAGTCATCTAATATGATCTCTCTCTTCATATTAGAGGTGGACACTCTCCAACGACCCTCCCGGCCCTCTCTCTAACCCTCTAAACCGTTTAAAGAGTTTTGGTACTTGGTGTATCTTGCTCTGCGATGATTACAATACGACATCAAAACCAAGCAAGAGCTTAAACATGTCCGTTCAATATGTGCATTTCTACAATCCTTGCTCGATTCTTCCTTCTGCTGTATTTATCAAAGCAAAGGATGAAATATTCACATAATCAAGTATTTAATGTCTAAAAGTATTTCGATTGGACATCTCACAATGGTTGACATTTCTCTTTATGACGAGTCAACACGAGGTACGTTTACATATATCTACTGTCTTAATCGTTATAGCCATAGTCTATCTTGATATACGGATTGTTACGACAGTAGATATATGTAAATGTACCTCGTGTTGACTCGTGAGCAGAAGGGGGTAACCAATGAATGACACCCTAATAACTATCTTCCATACTTTTCATGGAGATGTCTGATGTTCTTTGAGTCAGGTGTTGAGGGGTCTGAGGGTTTCTCCAATGTACTGGTGGCCACAGTTGCAGGGGATCTGGCGTATACATCCTCTGGGGTTGGGACTTGTGCAGCTGGTGCCTCTCATATCAAATGGCTTGGTTGATAATACTAATAATTATTTACGGTTCATTTTCCAATTATTGGAAAATGAATATAGAGCCAATACTCTTTCAGATCAAATCCTCCTTGGGGCACCTATTGCATTTTCCTTGCTCAAGAAAATCTACATGACATAGTTGTAACCATTTTCCTTAATAAAAAATGTTACCACAATGTTACCAAAAAACTTCATTTTTGTATGATATACGACCACCCTTACGGGGCCTCATCCTCCACGGCGCGTCATGCCAGGGGGAGCAACTCTCACCCAAATCACTTTCCTTATGTCATCTGTAAGAGACAGACGTGCTGATTTTTCACACAAGACAAATTAAGAGAATCTATCGTTCGACAAGAACCATGGCTGACCAAACTGTATGTATGGTACATTTCTTTCATTGCAAAGGCGTAATACCTCGCATTGTAAAGTTATAAGAGTTGTAATTATACGCCACGTGTACGTACATTTGAATTCAAATGGCCGTAATGGCGTCCACATTGTAGTTCCACGGTCTGATACATGTAACATCCAGGCCATTAGAAACGGCTTGGGGTTTTGTTATATCATACAGCTTTGGACTACATTTTTTTTGGTTTCTTTCCCTTTACATAAACCCAAGGTGGTGTGTTAATTTATAACTTCAATTACCTTTTTTATGGGTTTTAC